AGATTCGTCTCGCAAAGTTAAAGCAAACTGTGCAATTAGTTTTTTATTTCGTCTACATTTAGTACTCCATACATGTACCGCAAGTTTGATATGACGGAGAATCTTCTTTTTATATAGTACACTTTTCAGGAGTTTAGAGGAACTAAACAAGGGCTAGGGTTCAAGCTTAGAACTTTGGGACATTGTTTACACTAATTAACAAATCACTCACTAGGAATGCTTTAGTTTAACAAATGCATGGGCAGGAAGCGCCATCTGTTGTTAATAAGAACGGAGCAAGTACAAGAATGCTCCTTTTTTTTCTATATCTACATACAGTACACACACTTTTTTTTTAGAATTTTGTTCTACAAAAGTACAGTAAGTCGCAATCATTGTCGGTATTTTCGGACCACCGACGAGTAAATTTGTATTTACGCATCTGGCTCGGATGGTGTGCTCGGAGGACACAAAGGTTTATACTGGTTCGGGCGGAACGTCCCTACATCCAGTTTGCTGCTGCTCGTGTTACCGGCACTTGGTTTGCAGTAGGGGTTACAAACAGACGAGAGAGGGAAAGGATCCCAAGTCTCTGGTGAAAAGAGTGAACGGGTGCTGAGAAATCGATCGCTCCTCAGCCGTGTGCTCGTGTCGTGCTCTTGTATTTTTATCTCGTGGTTCGGTCTCGTGTGGATTTGGATCCCCTTTCATGGGTCGTCCTGCTTTTCCGTTTATAGGCGAAGGGAAAGCGCGGGTTACAGCGGAGGAAAAGGAGAAGAACGAGAGAGAAGAAGGCTTACAGGATCGCCGTGTCCTTCTCCTTCAAGCAGCTCCCGCCGATCCAGTAGATGTCAACAGAGACGGCTCCACGTCGTGGCCCTGTTCGTCACTGACGCCATATGCAGGCGTCATCTGCCGGTCATGGCGTTACACTCCGTCCCAGCGGACGTCGTGGTGAACTGACGCGCCTGTCAGCGTTCGTACGAGGGTTAGGCAGAACAGCACCGGCACGCCCGACGCTATTCTTGATGTGAATCCTCAGGTATGGTCCGTCATGGCCATGGGTTACATCGAGGCGTGCCAGTCTCTTTTCTGGTGTTAGAGTTTTGACCCAGGCCTATATGCTTGGACCTGAAGTGGTTGGCGGCGGTATGAATCCCCGTCGGACGAGATGGAACCCGCGTCCTTAGGGTCGGGCGAGACGGAGGCCGCGGCCTAGGGGTCGGGCGAGACAAAGCCCGCAGCCTCGAGGTCGGGTGAGGCGGAGCCCGCGGCCTTAGCGTCGGGTGAGACTTTTTAATACATCTTGCCCCATCCAAGGAAGTCAGTGTGGGCGCTAACTTCCTTGCTTTGGGTATCCCTACTATCTATACTCGACAATCATTAAATGCAACTAGCAATGCAAAGGGTCCATTTGGAACCGTCAATAATCTACATAAACTAGAAAAATTCTAACTCCACATCACCACATGCAAACTGTCCACCTTAGCAGCAACCCATAATCAGATGCAATTATAGTCCAATGGTACGTGCAATTATGATATATACGTTTGCGAGACACATAATAGTAGGTCCCGTTCGTTTCGCTGAAAAAACAAGACGAAACATTGTTCCGGCTGATTTGTTGTGAGAGAAAAGCACTGTTCCGGCTGAAAAAACAAGCTGAAAAAAACGAATTATAAGATAAACGAACAAGATGGATCGATCCCATATTCTCATCCCGCCTTTGGCAAAAGCCAAGCAAGGAACAAATAAAGCCTAGCCTGTTCATCATCAGCAACGGGCCAACGGCAATGGCGCTTCTCGAGCAAGCTGCACGCCGCCGAGAGCTCACACAGATACAGACAGCTTGTAATGCAACGCCCATGCATGCATGTAAAGAGCCGCGGACGGAGCGAGCCACCCGTTGGCCTGCGTCGGTAACGCTGGGATTCCGCTAATCCCACGTGATTTGGACAACAGCGCGCGGGCAACCCGCAGCTGATTAGCCCTGCATAACCAGGCGATCTCCACATCGGTCGGTCGGTCGCGGATGTGCGTCGGCAGGTCGGTCTCGTCGCCCGCCGGCAGCGCTGATATATGAATGCACGCAGGCAAGCAGGCAGGTCGCGATCGGCAGCGGCTTCGTTCGTTCACCTGTGCTGTGCGGCCGCGCCGCTAGCTGCAGCTGGGCGACAACGACGGCCGGCCGTCGATGTCTCGGGGACGGACAGGGCAGGGGCCAGGGATGTGCGTGACGGCGACGGTGATGGCTCGGCGCGCGCGGTCGGCGGCAGTGTTGCCCTCGGCGGTATGGCGGCGTAGTGCAGGCGGCGTATCCCCACGCGATCTGCCTAAATAAGCGACGCCATGCATGGACCGCATTTATAATACGTAAGTTGTACTGGACAGGCACAGGCCCGCGGTGTAGACGGCGACGGGGCATGCCGCGTCGTCGTCGTAATATACGCGTAGCGATAGCGTCGTCGCTGCTCACACCTCGCTCTGTATCGTATCGGTGACACGTACGTACGAGGCTGCCTGTGTGTGCTGTACGCCTGTACGTGATGGCGGCAGCCTCGTGGTGCCTGTGCGTGATGGGGGCCTCGAGGAGGCCAGGTGACGTCGACCGCTTGCTTGGTGGGCGGCGGCGCGGCCGGCGCTGGGCTCGGCATGCAGAGCAGAGCGGCAAGAAGAAAGGGTCTGGAAGGCAAACAAATCCGCGCCGCGCAGCGCTCGCACTTTCCCCTTTTCCCCCGGGAAAAAGGGACAGGTCCACTCTACCCGTCCTTGCGACACGACCCTATCCATGACTATACTGCGCTTGTTTGTTTCTGGTAGAGACTCTTTTGCTCTACTCCTGCCCCTTCTGGCCAGCCTGGGTCCTGCTAACCAAAGTAACCTTCCTTTTAACCGTTTGGTGAGTGTTAGTAGAAGTACTGCTACGAGCAGTAGTTAAACACAATAATGCTACTCCGACTCTACGAGGACCAATGGTTGGGTAAAAGAGACGATGCTTTCTCACGTGCTCTGCTCTGCGCCTTTGGAACCACTGTTGGGCTTTGACCACGACTGGGGGCTGATCTGGATCGGGCAGGTGGCTGGTCATCGTTCATCGATCTGGGAAATGCATTGTTTACCCGAGGAGTTGACCTGCCACTGCCAGGAGGACGGACAGCCCGAGCCGTGTCCACTGCCCACGCTCCCGTCCCGGCTCCCTTGGCCAAGTGCAGCCGGATCGGGGAACTGGAGCACCTGCGCCAGCGTCGTCGTCGTCAGGTCTGGACATTTCTCAAGGCAAAACTCTTAAAAAAAAAGCTCAATGCAACCAACCGTGCCTACCCTGCCTGGCTACCTGCCGACGCTCGAAACTGCTTCACGGGAAACGGAGGGCGACGTCTTTTCTGGACCAAAATAAAGCGGGGGTAATCGTATCGTAATCCAGACGGACTGGCCAAAGGGCAGCGGGAGCTGGAATGATTACCCGGAGCAGCGCAGGTCCAGCCGCGAATGAGGGTGCCGGGGCATGGCGCACCGCGCACGCGGCACGCGGCACGCGGCACGCCCACTCGCCACCACACCGAGGTTGGGTGTGGTCGGTCCAGTGGATTGGATTGGACCCGTCCCTTTCCCTTCCCTTCGCAGTCACACCTACAATGCAGGGAGCAGCAGCCCCCGCGTGAATGTCCAATTTCGTGGAGTGCCCACTCAACGGTCTGTCAATTGCTCCTACGAGTTTTAACTGCGCTGGAGTAAGGCCTGGTTTAGTTCCCAAAAATTTTTACACTAAACTATCACGTCGAATCTTACGCATGCATGGAGTATTAAATATAGACGAAAAAAAACTAATTGTACAGTTTGGTTGGAAATCGTGAGACGAATGTTTTAAGACTAATTAGTCCATGATTAGCCATAAGTGCTACAGCAACTAACATACGCTAATGATGAATTAATTAATCTTAATAAATTCGTCTCGCAGTTTCCAGACGAGCTATGTAATTATTTTTTTTATTAGTATCCGAAAACCCCTTCCGACGTCCCCGAAATATCCGATATGACATCCAAAAATTTTCATTTCGCAAACTAAACACGGACTAAGTAGCATTTTTGGGAGCTCAAAAGGTGGAAAACGTAGGAGTACGTCGCAATCCTAATGACTCTTGATAATGCAAATGCATAGTCAAGAAAAGATAATGTAAATTGTCTTTCTTTTTCTTGTTTTCTTGTAGGAAGCCTCCTGAAATTTAGACCCTCTCTGGAATCTAGGACAATTTATTAAAACATGTTTTTTCATCTGAAAATCAACTGATTTCTATAAAATCATTGTTAGTGAAAATTTTCTGTTCCAAAGGAGGCTTATCTTTCTTTTTATAGCCATATAGAAACATGAATTGTCAGTGTCAGTTTGTTTAATAAAAATGACAACGTCAACTTGTAATAAATACATATATACTCCATCACCAAACTTTTTTACTACTTCAATCACTTGTGCTCAATGTATTTAAATGTATGTAAGTAGTACGTGAGCGTGACAAATCCGGGAAAAATGATCTTGTTCCAATAATCCAATTTATGACTTATTTAGATTGGGGTTAGGAATTAGTATTGGGTACTATAACACTTTCGTTTGTATTTGACAATTATTGTCCAATCATAGCCTAACTAGGCTCAAAAGATTCGTCTCGTAATTTACAATCAAACTATGTAATTAGTTATTTTTTTATCTACATTTAATATTTCATACATATATCTAAAAATTTGATGTGTTAAAGAGAGTGAAAAAACTTACCATCTAAACAAGGCCTCAAAGGAGAGATCGGCTGGCGCTGCGCCCGCCGCTGGCCTCCCTCCCCTCCCCCATAAATAGCCGCGCACCCGCTCCACTCCGCTCCGCCTCCTCCTCTCCTCCCCATTACTCACGCCGCGACGCCGACACCAGCTCAGCTCGCGCTCGTTCGGCCGCCTCCGCCTCCTCCTCCCCTGCCACTCTGCCAGCACCCACCATGTCATACGGCCACGCCTCGCGGCACCGCGGCGGGGGCATGCCCGCCACGACGGTGCTCGCGGCGAAGGTGGCCCTGGCGTCCGCGGCGTTGGCCGCGGCCGCGTCCCTGGCGCGCCTCGCCGTCCCGCGCCTCATGTCCGTGGCCGGCGCCGTGCTCCCGCGCGCCTGGGCCGTCGCGCGCCTCTGGCTCGTCCCGCCCTACCTCTTCGTCACCGTGCACCTCATCATCCTCGTCATCTGGAAGCTCTCCGACCACAGGCACTTCCAGCAGGCCGCCCAGCAGCACAAGGACCCCTGGCCGGTCGCGCAGCACACTCCGCCGCCGGCCGCTGTCCACGGCCACGCCGCGGAGGTGGCGGCCGCCGCCGCACCGGCCGTCAAGGACAAGGAGGACTTCGGCTCCCCGGCAGGGTACGGCGAGCCCCTGGAGGCCGAGTTCTCCCCGGACTCCGGTGGTGGCGAGTCCTGCGTCACCACGGAGTCCGACGAGGATTCCTCTTCTTCGCCTTCCCCGTCGTCCTACGTCGCGGACGTGCGGCGTAGCCTGGCGCCAGCGCAGGAGCGCGCCGTCCTCCTGGAGCGGGAGCCCTCGCTGCCGTCGCAGGCCGTGGACGCCGACGGCGACGACGATCTGGACGCCACGTGGAACGCCATCATGCAGAAGACGCGCCCCGCTGCTCCCCCTCCCGCGCAGCATCAGCAACCGCCGCAGCAGCGGCCGCCTCCGCCGAGGGCCCGGGACCCGTCGGTCGGCGCGGAGGAGATGAACCGCCGGTTCGAGGACTTCATCAAGAAGAACCGCAACTCCTTCGGCCGGCAATAGGCGACCTACGATCCGACCCAGCCTCCCCGCCGCCGCCGCCGCCGTACGATACGTATATAGTAGAAGACACATGCATCTTTGGTTTTTCATGTTGGTGTGCCGCCGAAGAGATCGCCGGAGCGGAGGGAGGCGGGTCATTCGAATCGCCATGTTAGTTAGGTAAATTATATATGCTAGTAATTTGTGAAAGTGAAACAGCACAGTAAAAATCCGTTCTTGATCAAGTTTAGTCGGCTGCTTGATTAGCCGTGATGAGTTGTCGTTTGCGTGTCCGGAGGTTGGCGACGCCTTGGCGTGGCTGCTTTCCGTAAGAAAGCAAGAAATTGGTCGGCTTCTGCGCTAGCAGTCCGGTCCACTTCTTTAATCTTTCCCTTTCGGTGCCACCAAGATCTAACTGTAGATGCATGCTTGCTTAGTGCTGACTACTAATGCTCTCCATATTTCTGCGAGCGCAAACGAACGACTAATTCCAGTCAAAAGTAAAATCCTCTGACGAAGGTGTAGTCTGAATCTCTGAATTTTCAGTGCCAACACACTATGTTTTTCAGTAAAATATTACATACATAACAGTGATTCTAATCACAGAAAGTTATGCAAGTCACTGGGTGGAGATTTACATGTCCATGATTGCGCTAAAACGAGATGCCAGCAGTCAAATTTCGCCATGAACAAGCGGCCAAAACACTGGAACTGACGAATTTGTTTCGACCCTTTCAGGGATTTGCAGGCTGCGAAGGTTCTGGATGGATTATTGGATGGTGCCGTGGTGGTGATGTGGAGAGTAGCTAGATGACCTTAATGCGCTGAAATGATGGTTTGAGTTGGTACCTGGCTGTTAGGTTCTCCTTTTCAGTTGTTGCCCTTGCTGGCCTGGCATTTCTTCTAGCTTTCCACTTTTTTTTTTCTTTCTGCTACGGCTCTTTTACTGATTATAACTGTGCTAATTGTCCAAGTTCATATATATAAATATATGGTGCTAATACTGGTGAAGTAGTGGGTGTGCCTGTGATTACTTATTACACAAACTGTTGCTGCCACATGGGCTGTGTGAGTGTGGGAGAGGGAGATCCACAGGTCAATGGCCATGCCACCACCTTGTTCCATGATTCTTTCTTATTCTTCATGGAATGGTCAGTAGATGCCTCCCTGTTCTATGTTGCTACAACCTACAGCGTGGGTATGGTCACTGTTTGTCTGAAGTGAACAGTGAGCAATTCTTGACAGCAAAACTTGGGTGCATGTGCTACTGTTGGTTAAAAAAAAACACACATCACATATTCACATATGAATCATGTGCAGATGACAAGTCACAGCTATTATCAGGATTCAGGGAAGGTTTGGTTTTGCCCTGCACGCTGTGTCGCTGTTCCTCCTCTCTCACACACTATTCCTCTTCTACCCTCCTCCCATGTGTAACGAAACGGTTAACGACAAACCAATCATCGTGGTAAAAAAAAATCATCGAGATGCAATGAATTAGAGACTCCTCCCTTCAATTGTTCGCTTATGCTGAAATTTAGCTTATGCTGATGCTTACACTGAAATGCTATTTGAGAAAAATACTATTTTATCGTTGAAAAATAGTGCTGAAAAAGTAAATGCTGCGAATAAACCTTATATGACAACCAACTTGTAGAGCACATTTTCATCTTCCAGATACTCTGCAGCTTTGCTTTTCAGGCATGAGAAACAGTGGTAGTACCATACGTCTGCGTACTTTGCTGTGAAAACTCTGCAGTTTTGCTTTCATGTGACACATGCAGAATCAGTTCCTGAGTAGTACTACAAGTCGGTACTACCTGACGTCATGTTCGAATACTAATAAATTCAAAATTTCTGAATGTTTTCAAGAGTTCTGACTAGGCAATAAGTTACCTGCCTTCTGATATTTATACCTGAATATCAAAGGATATGCTTGTAGGAGTACTCCTACATGGCCAATTCTAACTGAAGTAAAATTTTCTGGAGATGAGACTGAAGTGGAGTGTGTCCCCCCTGTGCTCCTGAAAGTGGCATCCGAACTGCTTCAACAATCAACAGGATGTATGGCTCTTCACATCGCACTGCGAAAAGGGCCATATACTGAACCATCCCTTCTACTACTCCCAAACACAGCTGCATGATTGTGATCCGGCCGGTGAAGCAGGAGTGCTGGGCATTGCGTTGCTTTGCGTGAAAGGCAGCACCGGCAAGTCCCCCAAAAAACCAACCCCTCGGCTCTATCGCAATTTCGAAAGCGCATTTCAGGTTTTATCCTCGTCATCCACAGTCAACTTATCCATCAGAGCTGAGATCTGTATGACCTTGTTAGGATGCGCATGTATTTATCTCAATTCACATATATTGGAGTGGATTAGAGTGAAATTGAACTGAGGTAGATACACATGCATCAAACAAAACCTACGGTGGATTCTTTCCTCTGCAGCTTCCTTAGCCTGCAAAATGTTATGGGCTTGCATCCATCTCAACATCAAAAGGGGGTGGCTAGATGCACTTAAATTTGTAAAGGCTAGCTACACCCCCCTGGGTGTGAGTGTAAGTTGCTAGTTTCTTACTACCTCTCGACAAGAGATGTCACCAAGCTGTGATGGCCATGCATGCTGGCAGGATCAGGGTGCAATGCAACTTCAGACAACCCATCTGGCAGCGACACCTGTGCCATGGAGGCCTTGTTTTGTGTCTGCCCTTTCGTTTGAGACTACTAGCTAGGGTCTTAGCACCTCCTCCCTAGGCTTCAATTATGGCACCTAAACTATCCATGAACAATCACCACTTCCACTGACCCTGCAACAGCACCCGGGTCCAGGGTATTGTACTGTTGTGGTGGTTATGGTGACAGGGCAACAACCACCCCCATCTCCATGCATGGTGTACTTGCAAAACATCAGCCTGTTCGTTTGCTCGTAAACGATCATAAATTTTCAGTCGGGAACAGTGTTTTTCTCTCACACCAAACCAGCCAGCAGTAAATAATCCACGATACGATACGGCCTCCCGAACAGGCTGCATTTCTGCATGCATGGACGATGGCAGGCTTGAAGTTTCTTCACCTGTGGCCTGTGGTCCTCATGCCACTCACCACACACAAGTGTATTTTTGTTGTATATATATAATATATAACTATATAGGAGTATTAGTATATGCTGATCATGATCACCAAAATATAATGCCTTGGCAGTTTGCCGTGCTTGTTGTATATGTGCTTGCCGCGCCTATCCTATCCGGCTGAAAAAGACGGGCACGGCAAAGTGCAGCGAACGACAACACCGGGCACGAGGTGAGTACATGTACATGCATGCGCAATGGTGGACGCATCGGGACACAGCAGGCCAGGGTGACGTGAGGTGAGGTTGCTGAGAGGAATCGGCAAAAGCGCCGTCGCCGCCGGCCCCCACCACCGCCGGCCTAGCTAGGCTTGTCGCCGTCGACGCCCCCTGAATAACAATCACGGTGGTCCGTAGCCGTCAGCCCCACCTATCCGTCTTCCGATCCACCACCGGTCGGTCGGGGCGTCGGGCTCATCCCGCTCGTGAGCAACTGAGCACGTCGTGTTCGTGTCACAGGTCAGTCGAAAAGGCACTCATGCGTCTCTCTAGCTGTCGGATCAGAACGAACGAAGGTTAATCTCATTCTCAGGGACAGGAAACTGTTAAAAATGGCACAAGATGAAGGCTCTACTGCCATTATTTCAGCTCTTCCTGCACATTCTCGAAAGATTAAAACGAAAGGCAAATAATAATGCTGGGTGAATTTTTTGGAGGTAGGAACAGAGTGTGTCAAGAGTGGTGCTATTGTCGTACGTACGTTTGGTAGGCGTAGGCCGGGGGTTGTCGTTGTCATGCCAGGTTTGTGTGATGGTAGCCCTGCCCGCATCATGGCGTACTTATCAGGTTAGTAGTACCTGGATTAGATTTGGGTCACCAAGCAAGCGTCAGATTTTTCTTCGGCTCCAGCTCCTAACAGCTAGTCAGGCGCCCTGGTCCAAATGCAAGAGCTGATGATAAGGGGTACCATAACTGTAGGAGGTCACTTTTTTTTTTAACTTAAGGAGGGCATTGTTTTAGGTGAGCTTTGCTGGGACTTGGGTCACTGTACACTTAATATACCCGCAGAGATTGCTGAAATGCCGTTTGCCAACCTGAAATGGCATTCCATCTGTGCTAACTGTCAGCAGATAAATTGGTCACCGAGGAGGAATAATCAGCTGGAGCATTGAAGGTATAGTGACAGCATATATATACTACAGCATTGAGGAACAATCAGCTGGGAAAGTTGGGTATGTTTTATCAGAAAGTGATGTCCTTTAATTTAATTTAATCCTACTACCGAGCAAGGATAAACCTTCTTCACTCAGGTGTCTCATTGAGCAGTTCAATTGATTTTCTTGTACCACAGTTGGTGGCTAGCCTTTTTCTGCGCCAACTAGGCAACTAGTTTTCCGAAAAAATGAAGCAAACTAAAATACAACTCCACATTTCCCTTATTAGAAAGATGACAACAACACACACACATGATTGGTTCTGATCATAGATACTACTGCAGGAGTAGGTGCGTAGTCCCTAGGTTATAGCTCCAGGGACTGATGAGCATGCTCTACATGCTTTCCCATGTCCGCCCATGATACTTTTCATTCCGTGCTACTGCACCTATGTGTCTCATGTTCAAATAGGTCGTGTGTAGGTCACAACAACTTTAGGTTGCGTTTAGTTCGTGAAATGAAATTTTTTGGACGTCACATCGGATGTTTCGGGGATATCGGAAGGGGTTTTCGGATACTAATAAAAAAACTTATTACATAGTTCGCCTGAAAACTGCGAGACAAATTTATTAAGCCTAATTAATCTAGCATTAGCGCATGTTAGTTACTGTAGCACTTATGGCTAATCATGGACTAATTAGTCTTAAAACATTTGTCTCGCGATTTTCAACCAAACTGTGCAATTAGGTTTTTTTTCGTCTATATTTAATACTCCATGTGCTGTAAGATTTGATGTAATAGT